TCATCAAAGTGGTCCCTGATCAAAGTGGTCCCTAGTCAAAGTGGTCCCTGGGCAAGTGGTCGCTGGTCAAAGTGGTCCCTGGTCAACATGGTCCCTGGTCAACGTGGTCCCTGGTCTAGGTGGCCCCTGGTTAAAGTGGTCCCTGGTCAACGTGGTCCCTGATCAATGTGGTCCCTGGTCAATGTGGTCCCTGGTCAAAAAAAGTTTGGGAACCACTGTTCTATCTGAATGGCTTGTGAGCCTCTAGTGGTAACTCTATCAGATGCAATTTCATCTTTTCTTTGTAGTGAGGGTTTGGGATGTTCAGAAAGCATATATTCCTCTTGTAGATCTCTGGGAGAGGCTGATTTGGGGTTATTTTAATTGGGAGAACACAATATAGGCCTGCGGCTAGAGAATCCGTGATCTAGCCTGGTGACTTTTTGGAGAACTCAAAAAGTTACACAACTTTTGGCAACATTGTTTTGGGATGATCCAAGTCTGTGATCATGTTATTTTTTTATTAGCAAAGCTCTTTGGATTGAAAAACAACTCCTTTGCCATATAGATCAACCCAAGGTCCCCAAGTTTACAGATCCACTTGCCCACACCAAGGAAGACCTAAGAAAGAGTAAGAGAAGATCCAACAAGAATGCCTTTTGGGCTCAGGCTGGTAATGAGAATGCACCATGTCAGCCTTCTTCTCCTTAGGAATCTAGGGCAATGGCTATGATCCACCAGGTGCATGCCACACAGTATGAGTCATTCCACTTGATCGGTACTCACTTCCTCCTTGTGCTTTCGTCCCAGCCCCAAACTCCAAAACAACTGCCCCAAAGAAGGGTGTGTGCATCTCCTTGTAGTTTTCTCCTAAAGCTTCTGTATTTTGGGGTGGGGTGGATGTTTTGCTCCCAAACTTTGGAAATCTCTCACTAGAGACACCTGGATGACCCCATCATTGCTTTCCTTCTGTTGGCAGTTCAAAACAAAAAGTGTAAAAGATGAAGATATTTGTCAGTATTGCCTTGTGCTGCGAGACTAATAATAGCTAAAACATGGAAGGGGAAAAAAGAGTTAAATATTAAGGATTGGAGAGATAAATTAGTAGATTACATCCAAATGGCCAAACTGACAAATAGCAGCAGAGGAGGAAATAATGCAGAATTTGTAAAACAAAAATAGAGGTTGGCAATTGGATACCTTGAAAAGAAGACAAAAGTAGATTTGAAGATCACCATAAAGGGGATTTAGGGAAAGACGTGGGTAGTTGTGGATTAGTTCTGTGATTCATACTGAGTGGTGTCGGAGGTCATGGGAGTTGGGTTCACGGGTGTGGGGTTAGAGGGACAATAAATGTTAATGTTCTAGAGGCATTTTCTCCTGACGTTTCGCTTGCATCTATGGCAAGCATCCTCAGAGGTAGTGAGGTCTGTTGGAACTAGGGAAAAGGGGTTTATATATCTTGCCATAGATGCAGGCGAAATGTCAGGAGAAAATGCCTCTAGAACATGCCTCTAGATGTCAGGAGAAAATGCCTCACAGGCACGCCTGGCGGGGACGAGAGAGAGGGCCTTCTCAGTGGTGGCCCCCCGGCTGTGGAACGCCCTCCCTGTTGACATCAGACAGGCGCCCTCCCTCATGGCTTTTCGTAAGAGCCTAAAGACCTGGCTATTCGAGAAGGCATTTAATTGAGAGCCACATGAATCTGGCAATGACACTTAGAACGGACTACGGACTATGAGATTGGCTATTGATTCTATATGTGATGGCGCGGATTTTTTAGTGTGATTAGATTAATGTGCAATTTGATTGTTGATATACTGTATGTTTTGTAGACTGTTTTTTACATGTTGTACACCGCCGCGAGTCGCCCCAGGGCTGAGAGCGGCGGTCAACAAATGAAGTAAATAAATAAATAAATAGAACATGGCCATATAGCCCGAAAAAAACCTACAACAACCCAGTGATTCCGGCCATGAAAGCCTTCGACAATACAATAAATGTTAAGATATAATAACTGTACAGTCAAAGTTGACTTTTCATATGTTTAACAAGCGCTGACTGTATACCATTCTGTAAACTTGCATACACTTTTGTATATCTTTTTTTCTGTTTTATTTTTTGTTTTTCCCCTCTGGTGTTGGTTTTGTTTCCTGTGTGCACCATAAATCAATAAAAATAAAAACATTTTTCTGTTGTCATACTTTTACAAACTGTCTAAAGATGGGTTTTTAATCTTGTGCAATGCTATGTGATTTTAGCATTTTAAAGCAGTGGTTTCAACTTTCCTAATGCTGTGACCCCTTCATTCACTTCTTTGTGTCATGGTGATCCCCCAACCATTAAATTATTTTCCTGGCTACTTCATAACTGTAATTTTGCTACTGTTATCAATCATAATGTAAATACCTGATATGCAGAAATGGATGTATTTTCATTGGAACAAATACCAGATACACCCAAATTTGAATACTGATGGGTTTGGAGGGGGGAATGATATTTGTCATTTGGACTTATAGTTCACCTACAATCAAAGAGCATTCTGAACTCCACCGATGATGGAATTGAACCAATCTTAACACAAAGAACTCCCATGACCAACAGAAAATACTGAAAGAGTTTGGTGAGCATTGGCCTTGATTTTTGGAGTTGTAGTTCTACATTCAGAGAACACTGTGGACTCAAACAATGACGGATCTGGACCAAACTTGACACGAAGACTCATATCCAAATATGCCACTGGTGGAATTTGGGAAAAATAGACCTCGACATTTGGGAGCTGTAGTTGCTGGGATTTATAGTTCACCTATAATCAAAAAGCATTCTGAAAGAATTGGGCCAAACTTCCCACACAGAACCCCCATGTCCTGAAGGAACTTGCTGGCTTGAGCCTCCCTCCAGCCTCACATGCTCTCCCTTGCTCACACATGCGCACCACGCTGCAATGCACTGAGCATGCCTGCCCTCCTATCTGTGCGGGAGTCTTAGCCCTCCCCTTGGCTGAGAGGCCAGCCTATCACAGTGGCTTTTGGTGGGAAGATTTGCCTTCTGTTTCCAAAAAGGAAGAGAAGGACAAGCGGAGAGATCTTCAGCCTTCTCTGCCAAAGGAGTTCCTAAGACCATCAGAAATATGTGTTTCCTGATGGTCTTTGGTGACCCCTCTGAAACCCCCTCACGACCCACCCAGGGGTCCTGAGCGCCAGGTTGAGAAAAACTATTTTAAAGGGTGTGTGTAGAGGTTTCTTAAAATCCATTTAAATATTTTTTAATGTTTAGTGTTTAATTGCTTTGAGAATCTTGCATTTATACTTTTATTGACTTATGCATTGTTATCAGTTGATATTGTTTTATTGTGTTGTTAGTTTACCACCCTGAGTCCCATTACTGGAAGTTAAGCAAGATATAAATTAATAATCATAATAGACGAAGAAAGAGAAGATATACATAATTATTTCTAAAACATTCTGACACTTCATTGTTTTTCAAGGTTTTTAAAAATCATCCTTGGCACTCAAACAATAAATTACATGATCAGTCACACAATCATTTGCTGCCTCCCTTCGCGCCAGCAGCCGCCGGTCCAAATGCACTGGCAAACATGCCTTACAAAAAATGCTTGGTCCATTCAGTTCAGAAGGATAAGATGAGGCTGCTTTGGGAGGAGGAAACAGGTTTGCTACATTCCGGGACAGGAAGATGGTGGGTGGAATGCTCCCCTAAGACAGGCACTTGAAGATGTCCAAGATACTTAAATGGCACCGTTTTGGAAATGCTCCTCTCTCTCTCCATCAGTCCAAATGAGGGAGAAAAGGCTCAGCCAGAAAAACATTGTATATCCCATTGAAGTCTCATATACATTTCCCCTTAAAAGCCATTGCTGGAGCTTGTCACCCATTTTATGTACTTTCCATAGACAGACTGAGAGTTGGAACAGACCATCTAGTTCAGTGTTTCTCAACCTTCCTAATGCCATGACTCCTTAATACAGTTGCTCGACTATTGGTGATCCCCGACCATAAAATTATTTTCGTTGCTACTTTATATTTTGCTACAGTAAGGTAAATATCTGATATGTAGGCCGTATTTTCATTCACTGGATCAAATATGGCACAAATACCTGATACGTCCAAATTTTGTCATTTGGGACTTGTAGTTGCTGGGATTTATAGTTCACCTACAATCAAAGAGCATTATTAACCCCACAAATAGCCAACTTCTTCCACTCTGCTCTACTAGTTATGAATTATAATGTAAATATCTGATATGCAGGATGAATTTTCATTCACTGGATCAAATCTGGCACAAATACCCGATACGCCCACATTTTGTCATTTGGGACTTGTAGTTGTTGGGATTTATAGTTCACCTACAATCAAAGAGCATTATGAACCCCACAAATGGCCAACTTCTTCCACTCTGCTCTACTAGTTATGAATTGTAATGTAAATATCTGATAAGCAGGATGTATTTTCATTCACTGGACCAAGTTTGGCACAAATACGTCTAAATTTGAATATTGGTGGGGTTGCGGGGGGGAGTTGTAGTTGCTGGGATTTATAGTTAACCTACAATCAAAGAGCATACTGAACTTCACCAACGATGGAATTGAGCCAAACTTGGCACACAGAACTCTCATGACCAGCAGAAAATCCTGGAAGAGTTCGGTAGGCATTGGCCTTGAGTTTGGGAGTTGTAGTTCACCTATATCCAAAGAGCACTATGGACTCAAACCATGATTGATCTGGACCAAACTTGGTTCGAATATTCAATATGCCCAAATGTGAACACTGGTGCAGTTTGGGGAAAATACACCTTGGCATTTGGGAGTTGTAGTTGCTGGGATTTATAGTTCACTTACAATCAAAGGGCATTCAGAACCCCACCAATGATAGAATTGGCCAAACTTCCCACACAGAAACTCCCAATAGAAAATACTTTGGCAACCCCTCCGGAACCCCCTTTTGACCCCCCCCCAGGGGTCACGACTCCCAGGTTGAGAAACACTCGTCTGGTTCAACCCACCGCTATGCACAATCAAATCAAAGCAACTCCTTTTTTTTTGTCATGTCAGGAGTGACTTGAAAAACCGCAACTACTGATATGATGGGCTTCCAATCAGGCATATTTCAGGCTGGCTATAGCTTTTGTGTGTGTCTGTGTGTGTGTGTTTTTTCTCACTCTCACACAACCAGGTTAACCAATGGCTCCAGGGAAGGAGGTATTGAAGACTTCTGTGCTACCTCGAATGGCAGCTTCACTTGGGACTTTCACCGTTGTTTCTCTTTTTACCCACCCACCATTCCACTCATTTACATCCCACTTGTGTCCATGCACTTGTCCCATCCCACCACGAACCCCTCACCCTCCCTTTCTCTCTATCACAGCTCCTGAGCCTCCACCAGCATGTCCATGAGATAGTCGAGGTCAGCTAAATCCGGCTTCTCCTGCGCCGTAGTTGAGAAGCCTTCCTTGAGGTGTGGAAGTTCAGTGGGTGACCAGAGGTCAGAGTCATACATGGAAGTGTCAATGTCTTCAAAGAGGCCCTCCAGGCCATCTTCCAGGAGGTACCCACCAGGGCCCAAGATCTCTAGAGAGCTGGGAGGGCCAGGATGGGAAGTCCGTTCTGGCTCTGGACTGAGCAAGTCTCCAGGCGCTCCGAGCGAGGGCTGGAATGAGTCCCCCAGACCCTCTATGCCACTCAAGTCCTCCAAAATGCTGGAGAAGACCGAGATGTCCATGTTGGAGATCAGGAGCTCGTCCACATGGGGGGCAAGAGGTGCCGGAGGCTTCCTGCAAGGCTCCAAGGGGACGGGAGCAGAGGCAAGTGGGTCTCCCCCGCCAAGGGCTGCGGGGATAACAGGGCTTACGGCTGGCTGCATCTCACCCTGGATGCGCCGGAGGGTGTTTGCCACCAGCACCAGGTGGCGGAGGTTGGGTTCCACATGTTGGAGGCTCTGGTGCAGTTTGGAGACGGAGAGGCTGAAGAGGGAGCTGGATGGTGAGGTGGCCACAAGGGGGTCTGGCGCCTCGTCTTCGCTCCGCTTCCGTTTCATGCCCTTGGCCAACATTTTTCTGGAGAGGAAGGAAACAACAGAGTCAGATCATCTCTATACTGAATGAGGCTCATATGACAAGAATAGCCATTCGCAGGAGTGGGGCTGGCTCAAGATATTACACTTTCTAAGGGTCCCATGGCGGCGCAGTATGTTAAAACACTGAGCTGCTGAACTTGCTGACTAAAAGCTTGGCGGTTTGAATCCGGGGAGCAGGGTGAGCTCCCAATGTTAGCCCCAGCTTCTGCCAACCTAGCAGTTTGAAAACATGCAAATGAGAGTAGATCAATAGGTACTGCTTCTGCTGGAAGGTAACAGCGCTCCATGTAGTCATACTGGCCACATGAGCTTGGATGTGTCTTCGGACAACGTCGTTTCTTCAGCTTAGAAATGGAGATGAGCACTACCCCCCCCCCCCCCCCGAGCCAGACACAAATAGCCTTAATGTCTATGGGGAACCTTTACAATTACCTAAGGAACAAACAGCGCCCCTTCTTTCCAATTCAAGTCCCAGGGCTACAAAGGACATGAGGATACTGACCACCCAATTGTTGGAATTCAACGCCGCACTGCCCAAATCTCAAGTCCTCATTGAGGAACAGAATAGTTTGTTTATTTATTTACACTATTTATATATAATAAATAAGATTAGTTAGTATAGACCAGGGGTCCACAAATTATGGCCCGAGAGCCGGATGCGGCCCTCCAAGGTCATTTACCCGGCCCTCACTCAGGGTCAACCTAAGTCTGAAATGGTTTGAAAGCACACAACAACAACAAACACAATCCTATCTCATCAGCCAAAAGCAGGTCCACACTTTTTTACTGCACTACAAATAAGATATGTGCAGTGTGCATAGGAATTCATTCATATATTTTTTTCAAATAATAATCCGGCCCTCCAATAGTTTAAGGAACTGTGACCTGGCCCTCAGTTTAAAAGGTTTGAGGACCCCTGGTAGAGACTAAGGGTTTCCCTTCCATGTATACAGGGGTCCTCAAACTAAGGCCCGGGGGCCGGATGCAGCCCTCCAAGGTCATTTACCCGGCCCTCGCTCAGGGTCAACCTAAGTCTGAAACGACTTGAAAGCACATAACAACAGCAACAATCCTATCTCATCAGCCAAAAGCAGGCCCGCATTTCCCATTTTGGCTAATACGTTTATATTTGTTAATATTGTTCCTCATTTTAATTATTGTATTGTTTTTAAGTGTTTATTACACTACAAATAAGATATGTGCAGCGTGCACAGGAATTCATGTTTTATTTTTCAAATTATAATCCGGCCCTCCAACAGTTTGAGGGATTGTGACCTGGCCCTCTGCTTAAAAGGTTTGTGGACCCCTGAGTATGACTGTTGGAATGTATCAAATTTCTTCTTTCCTCTCTGTTCCTGCTCTCATTCTGATTGTCTAAAATGGATACTTTTACAAAAGCACTTTGTCTCACCCTGGTCATTCCACAGATATATAAACCCCTTTTTTCCCAGTTCCAGCAGACCTCACCTCTGTGGATGCTTGCCATAGATGCAGGCGAAATGTCAGGAGAAATGCCTCTAGAACATGGCCATATAGCCCGAAAAAACCCACAAGAACTGAGTGATTCCAGCCATGAAAGCCTTCGAAAATACATTGGATACTTTTCTACTGCAAGTCTTTATGAATCTGACTTCTGCCTTCTTACACTTTAGAAGGGAGAGTTTGGGCTGTGTGCTTTGAGATCTCTCTCTACTTGTGTGTCAGGAAAGATGTAGTGATTGTGGTTTTCCCCTCCCTTTGAAACCTTAGAAGAGATGGGTGATAAGAGTAACTCAGACCCAGGTCTTGATTATTTTAAAAATGCAGTTATTTCTAATTATTGTAAATAAACTTTTTGGTTTTTTTTAAGATTGGACTCTGTATGTTTGCCTCCTAAGCTCTGAATTCTTCACAGCCACATCACACAGCACTTCATGCTCTGCTCCCTAGTGAGTTAATGCTCAACTGTTTGTATCCTGTTTGTTTTTGGATGCTCTGCTTTATTTTAGCATAGGTTTCCCTAACAAATTCAAGACCCAGGGGTACAAGGGAAATGAGGATATTGACCACCCAGTAAGGACTTTGTGGATCCAAATGACATTTTTCTCCAGCCCAGTTCTTTTGCTGCGGTCACATCCCTGCCTGTCCCTTTTTCTTGGATTTGTTCTTGTTGTGTGCCTTTGGGTATATCCCACTTATGGTGACCCTCATAGGATTATGTGACTAATCCAAGGTCACCCAGTGGGCTGTTGTGAATTTTCCAAGCTGTATGGCCATGTTCCAGAAGCATTCTCTCCTGATATTTCGCCTGCATCTATGGCAGGCATCCTCAGAGGTTTTGAGGTCTGTTGGAAACTAGGAAAATGGGGTTCATATATCTGTGGAATGTCCAAGGTTGGAGAGAGAACTTTTGTCTGTTTGAGGCAGGTTTGAATGTTGCAATTGGCCACCTTGATTAACACTGAATGGCCTTGCAGATTCAAAGCTTGGCTGCTTCCTGCGTGGGGGTATCCTTTGTTGGGAGGTGTTAGCTAGCCTTGATTGCAGCTGTGGACAAGTCTACATAGGGACCACCAAATGAAGCATTGCCCAAATGCAAATAGCCTACCAGTTTCAACGTCTGGTTTCTTATTGCCTTGGAAAATCCTTCGTTGGGATGTCATTAGCTAGCCCTGATTGTTTCTTGTCTGGAATTCCCCTGTTTTTGAGTGTTGTTCTTTATTTACTGTTATGATTTTACAGTTTGTTTTAAATACTGGTAGCCAGATTTTATTCATGTTCATAGTTTCTTCTTTTTTTGTTGAAACTGTCTTTCTCCCACCCTGGACATTCCACAAATATATAAACCCAATTCCCTAGTTTCCAACAGACGTCACAACCTTTGAGGATGCCTGCCATAGGTGCAGGCAAAACGTCAGGAGAGAATGCTTCTGGAACATTGCCATACAGCCTGGAAAACTCACAGCAACCCAGAGATTCCGGCCATGAAAACCTTCAACAATACATCATCATCCATTGTGATTCCATGGTCAAGCAGGAAATCGAACCCTGGTCTGTAGAGTCGTAGTCCAATGCTCAGACCTCTACACCATGCTAGTCCTTGTTCTCTGGATATCTAAATTCATTTTATAAACACTTTGCTAAAGTTCAAATAACTGCAAGGCTCAAGATTTGGAGATTGAAAGAAAATAGTCATGGAATGTCGAATTTAGAATCACAGACTAATAGAGTTGGAAGAGACCAGTGGGCCATCCAATCCAATCCCCTGCCAAGAAGCAGGAAAATTGCATTCAAAGCACCCCCAACAGATGGCCACCCAGCCTCTGTGTTTAGAGAGTTCCACTGCTGAAGCTCTCACATTTAGGAAGTTCTTCCTAATGTTCAGGTGGAATCTCCTTTCCTGTAGTTTGAAGCCATTGTTCTACATCCTATATAATTAGAATATTCTGCTAGGTAGGCAGAAGCTGGGCTAAAGATCAGGAGCTCACAACAACCCAGGCTTTGATCTGTCAACCTTTCGATTGGCAAGATTTACTGCAGCTGGTGATAAATCCATTCATTAGACTTAGATCAAAAATCTAAAAATTTACATCAAAAATCATCTGGGCATCCCCTGGGCAATGTCCTTGCAGATGGCAAATTCTCTCATACCAGAAGCGACTTGCAGTTTCTCAAGTCGCTCCTGACATGACAATATATATGTGTGTGTGTGTGTATCAGCAGAAAACAAGCTTGCTCACTCCTCCCTATAACTTCCCCTCACATATTCATACATGGCCCTCATTATGTCTCCTCTCGGCCTTCTCTTTCGCAGGCTAAACATGCCCAGCTCTTTAAGCCGCTCCTCATTGGGTATGTTATCCAGACCCTTGATCATTTGAGTAGCCCTCCTCTGGACACATTTCAGCTTGTTGACATCTTCCTTCAATTGTAGTGCCCAATTGAAGGGAGATGTTGACATCTCCCTTCAATTGTGGTGTGATTCCATGTGTGGTCTGACCAAGTCAGAATAGAGGGGTAGCATGACTTCCCTGGATCTAGACCCTATAGAGGCCAAAATCCCAATGGCTTTTTAAGCTGCTGCTATGGAAGGCCTTGTTTTGATTCCTCTAGTCACTCCTTTGCAAGTAGAGAAGGATTCAGAGTTGGCCTAGTTATTTCAGCATCAGAAGCAGAACATTTGAGATCTTCCCCCAAAAGAAGAACAGTTATATAAACAATTCATTTCCCTTTCACTATATATATATTTAGGTGTTTTCAGACAACTTTGACTAATGGTAAGGGCTGGCTTTGTTCTGAAGGACAGTAGTGGTTGGTCAAGATCTATGTCCCACCAGGAATGGAAGTAATGGGCATATATGGACCGGGGTTTTTAAAAGGATTCCTGGAGAAGAAGCCTACTTGTCCTCAAGGGTTTAGATCATTTTCCTGTGCTCTTCAAAGTTGGGAGGGTTTGCCATCACTGTCCCCATATCCTTTGTGCAAGTTCCCTTTGGACATAGTGTAGCAGGCATGGTCCAACTTCAGTCCTCCCTCCGGGTGTTTTGGACTTCAACTCCCACAATTCTTAGCAGCCTAATTGTGGAAGTTGAAGTCCAAAACACCCGGAGGGAGGGCTGAAGTTGGCTCATGCCTGGTGTAAAGGCACTCCTAGACCATATTCCAGGAAAGAGAAACTACTGAAGTTGTATCTCACATGAATCCAAATGTATCCCAAATGAATCCAAATGTATCCCAACCTTGATGTGGACTCAAGGGGGCTTTACACATATCAACTATTTAATAGGGCCCCCTGGTGGCACAGCAGATTAAACCACCGAGCTGCTGACCAAAAGGCTTGCAGTTCGAATCCTGGGAGCAGGGTGAGCTCCCACTGTTAGCCCCAGCTTCTGCCAGCCTAACAGTTAAAAACCTGCAAATGTGAGTATTTTATTATTTATTTACAGTATTTATATTTTGCCCTTCTCACCCCACAGGGGCGGATTACAATGTACATATACATGGCAAACATTCAATGCCATAGACAAACAACATATATAGACAGACACACAGAGGCTATTTAATATTCCAGCTTTTTCATGAGGGTATTCTGACCACCAGAGGAGCTGTCACTTCACCATCCATTTGTGACACTGATGAAGTACTTCCTCATTCTTTGCATGCTTACTGGAGATTTTTATGGCATTGTAAATTAGCCACCCCACATAAGCGGTACCTAAATTTCCTACTTGACAGTACGTTCGGGCTGCAAAGGTTGACAGCAAGCTACACAAATCGGTCGGAAGCTCACTCCGAACCGGGCTGGCTTCGAACTCATGACCTTTTGGTAAATAGTGATCTTAATGCAGATGACTCCCAGCCAGCTGTGCCACAGTCCCAGTCAACAGGTACTGCTCCGGCGGGAAGGTAACGGCACTCCATGCAGTCATGCCAGCCACATGACCTTGGAGGAGTCTATGGACAATGCCGGCTCTTTGGCTTAGAAATGGAGATGAGCACCAACCCCCAGAGTCAAACACAACTAGTAGACTGTCAGTGGTACGCTGTTAGGAATTGTGAGAGCTGAAGTCCAAAACACCTGGAGGGAGGGCCAAAGTTGGCCCATGCCTGGTGCAAAGGCACCCCTAGACCATCTTCCAGGAAAGAGAAACTACTGGGAGTTGTATCCCAAATGAAACTTTTCTACACGCGCTTCCTTATAAGGTGAATGACTCCTCTGTCCGAGAAGGCGGAGCAGATTCGAGCCCCAAAGGAAGCCAAAGGAGAGACTCACTTCCCGGCACCAAGGCCCTCCTCCTCCCTCTTGTCAGCTGCCACTGGTGTCCCCTCCCCGCAGCTCCAGTTTGGAACCGGTTTGGGAAGGAGCAGCAAAGCTGTCCCCAGAACGTGAGCCTCCAATGGCAAAAATGCATATAGGAAGGGAATCTTGGCAAGCTTGTAACCCCCATCTCTCCTTTCTCTAAGGGACATCATGTAGCCACAGACCAGCTACATTATAGACTTAAAGCAGTTTGACTACCATGATTCAATGCTATGGAATCCAGGCACCAGCAACTCAGATGTTTATGATTCCCAAATTTGTCCTGTTTCAGAGCTCTCCTTTCTCTTAAGCGGCAAACCTTACTGTGTATCCACAATCTATCTATATTATAGACTTAACGCAGTTTGGCACCACTTGGACTGCCATGATTCAATGCTACGGAATCCACGCAGTATGTTTAATGAGGCACCAGCAAATCAGGTGTCTATTATGCCCACCTTTGTTATGTTTCATCTGACTCTGTGGGTAGATCTACCCTGTGGAACGAATGCAGTTTATTATTTTTTCTTATTACTTTTATTATTTAATATACTATACCATATAATATATTAATTATAATATTAATTTATTATAGGCAGTATGCTTAATGAGGCACCAGCAACTCAGGTGTTTATTATTCCCACCTTTGTTATGTTTCATCTGGCTCTGTGGGTAGATCAACATTGTGATATAATATATATCATATAGTTTATATTAATTTTTATATACATCATATAGTTTATATTAATATTATATTAATTATAATATTAATATAATATAATATAAACTATATGATATATATAAATTATAATATTATAATAATATATTTTATTATATTATAATATAATATATTAATAATAATATTACTATAATAATATAATATAATAAAATATAATACTTTTATAATATATTATTATTTATAATGTTTTTATTATAAATGAAATATAAAAGATAAAAAAGAAAACATTGAAAGTGTGGGGACCATATATTTAGAGAAAAGCAGGAAATTTGAAAAGAAGGATGAAGATGAAAGAGAGAAAAAAAAAAAGATTTAGAAGTTTTGGTGGCTTCTGTTCTTCCTCCTTACATTCAAGTCTATTGGTTTTCCCATTCTGTCAAGATTTTCTTTCCCAATGTTCATCTACTTTTAGTTTACAGATTTCATTCCCTTCTTATCCTACATTGGATGTTGCATCTTCATATGTTCTTCAAAGATTGACCATTATTATTATTATTATTATTATTACTCTGCTTTATCTCTCCAAAGGGGACTCAATGTAGCTTGACAAAAAAGCAATTCCAAATATACCAATATACCATCTGGCTCATTTGGCTACACTGTGGAATTAATGCAGTTTATTATTTTTATTATTTTTTATAATTACTATTATAAAAAATACACTGTGGAACAATTGCAGTTTATTATTTTTATTATTAATTTTATTATTTAATATAATATAACTTATATTAATTATAATATTAATATAATATATTATAATATAATACTATATATAACCTATTACTTATAATGTTAATAATATAATAGAATACTTTTATATTATTATACATTTTATGTATATATGTATCACACACACACACATATATACACATATTATATTTACTATTATTAATTTATAGCCCACTTTATCTTCCCAACTCAACATGGCTTGACATAAATGCATTGGTATACAATTCGAAATATAACAATTCGAAATATACCAATTCAAAATATACCAATTCAAAATATACCAATATACCACCACTTTTAACTGCCATTGCTCGATGCTATGAAATGCTGGGTTTTGTAGTTCTACCAGGGTCTTGAGCAGGCATAAACAAACTTCAGCCCTCCAGGTGTTTTGGACTGCAACTCCCACAATTCCCAACAGCCGGTAGGGTGTTAGCAATTGTTGGAGTTAGGAGTCCAAAACACCTGGAGGCCAAAGTTTGGCCAAGCCCGGTCTTGACCCTTCTTTACCAAAGAGTGCTGGTGCCTTGACAAACTATATATCCAAGGATTCTATAAACTTGAGCCATGGAAGTCAAAAAGGGTATTAAATACCATGCCCGGTCTTGAGCCCTCTCTGCCAAAGAGTGCTGGTGCCTTGACAAACTATATATCCCAGGATTCCATAAACTTGAGCTATGGCAGTTAAAAATGGTATCAAACTATGTTAATTCTACAGCGCAGAAGCACCCAATGATTGGACTTTGGTCTCGTTTCAGTTGCCCTAACTCCTGGGATTCACAATTCAATGAGGTTCTTAAAAATTCCCTTTCTGAGGCTAAATAATTATAATTCAGGGAAACTGGCCATAAAGATTCCAATTCTCTCCTCAAACTACACATCCCAAAATTCTAAAGGACCGAAAGCAGGCCATAAGAACAGCATCAAGAGGCTGGAATTGGTCACAGAGTAATTCACAGGAGCCCTTTCGACACTGCGATATACAATTCAGGTTATATGCTTTGAACTGGATTATATGGCAGTGTGGACTCATATAATTTGGTTCAAAGCAGATAATGTGGATTATGTGCTTTGCTAATTTGTACTAGATGACAGTGTAGAAGCGGCCTGAGTCACAGAGAGAATCAATCCACACCAAGCATGGGCAAACTTCAGACCTCCAGATGTTTTGGATTTCAACTTTGAACTGGATTATATGGCAGTGTGGACTCATATAATCTGGTTCAAATCAAATAATGTGGATTATGTGCGTTGCTAAATCTGTACTACATGACAGTGTAGATGGGGCCTGAGTCACTGAGAAAATCAATCCACATAAGCATGGGCAAACTTCAGACCTCTAGGTTTTTGGATTCCAACTTTGAACTGGATTATATCGTAGTGCGGACATATAATCCAGTTCAAAGCAGATAATGTGCATTATCTGATTTGCTGGAATTGGTCAGAGTAATTCACTGGGGCCCTTTTGACACTGTGATACAAAATTCAGGTTATGTGCTTTGAACTGGATTATATGGCAGTGTGGACTCATATAATCCGGTTCAAATCAGATAATGTGGATTAAGTGGTTTGCTAAATCTGTACTACATGACAGTGTAGGTGGGGCCTGAGTCACTGAGAGAATCAATCCACAAGCATGGGCAAACTTCAGACCTCTAGGTGTTTTGGACTCCAACTCTGAACTGGATTATATAGCAGTGTGGACTCATATAATCCAGTTCAAAGCAGATAATGTGGATTATCTGATATGATATGACAATGTAGAAGGGGCCTGTGTCACAGAGTGAATCAATCTACATCAGGCATGGGCAAACTCGGACCCTCCAGATGTTTTGGACTCCAACTTTGAACTGGATTATATGGCAGTGTGGACTCATATAAAGTAGTTAATGTGGATTATCTGATTTGATGGTCTGTACTAGGAATTGTGGGAGTTGGGAGTCCAAAACACCTGGACGGCCCAAGTTTGCCCATGCCTGATCTACACTACAGGGTTAACGCAGTTTGAAACCGCTTTAGCTGCCATGGCTCAAGGCTATGGAGTCATGGGAGTTGTAGTTCAACAAGGCCTTGAGCCTTCTCTGCCTCATCAGACTATAAACCCTAGTCTGCCGTAGCAGTTAAAGCGGTATCAAACTGCATCAAATGGGCGGTGTAGATGCAGCCTTCTTTCCCTTTCCGGCCCCTCCTTGGAGGCCAGGCACGGAGGGTGACTCATGTTGCCGCTTCCCTTTTCAGCCCCGCCTGAGTCACACTGCGCGCCAATCCCGGATCAGTCCCGGAATCGACGCGATTCAGAAGGCCCCCGGACCCAACAGAGGGCTCCCCATCTTTCAGACCCCCCCTTCATTTACATACCCGGCTCCTCAGAGGCCAATCAGCGGGGTCTTTCGGTCTAGCGGCAGCCAATCAGCAGCCTACATCCCTCTCTCGCGCCAGCCAACTCCGGAATGAAGCCCGGCTGCTTCTGCTGACGGACTTAAGCTACATTCTCTCTGCGTGGGCGGAGGAAGGGGAGCGCTGACCAATGGAAACGCTCCGACGGGCGCCTCATCTGCATACGAGTGCCTGTGGGCGGGCCGCGGAGACGACTCATCTGGAGGGGAGAGGGAGACAAACAAGGCAGAGGAGGCCACGCCCCCTCGCGCTGATTGGCTAAGGCGCAGCGGAGTCACTCCGCCGTCGAACCGGCTGCGTGTGGTGCGGTGGAGACGTGGGAGAAGTGGAGCAAGCGGGGGCGGGGAGCGTGAGCTCGGGAGCTGTGTAAAAGTCAACCAAAAATGCTGTGATACTGCCACAACTGCCTTAAATCCAACTAGCTAGAACAGACCTGTTAAAAGTGCGTCTACACTGTAGATTTAATGCAGTTTGATACCACTTTAACTGCCATGGCTTGATATTATAGACTCCTGGAAGATGTAGTTTGGTGAGACAAAGGTAATGATCTTGCGAAGCAACTCCCAAGTTTTCCATAGCATAGGACAGCTAAAGTGGTATTGAACCGCATTAATTCCACAGTGTAGATGCACCTTTAGCAGGTCTATTCTAGCACCCCCAATCAGGACTCTGGGTGATTGACATACACATTCATTGAATGGGTCTGGTTTAATTAGAAGTAGCACTTGATTATGGCTCCTCTTTAAACAGCCCTATCCACAGCCGATTGTCAACATTAATCTAAAGGAATAGATTCAAAACAAAAGAAATCCAAAACTAAAAGTGATATACCGTATATACTCGAGTATAAGCTGAGTTTTTAGGCTGAACAAGTCCCCCTTGGCTTATAATCAAGTCAAATTTATTATTATTTTACTGGGTTATTATTTTTATTACATTTATTATTTTACTATTGTTATTATTACATTTACAGGACTTTATTATCATTATTAGGTAAAAGTAAAGGTTTTCCCCTGACATTAAGTCTAGTCGCGTCCAACTCTGGGGTTGGTACTCATCTCCATTTTGAAGCTGAAGAGCCAGCGTTGCCCATAGACACCTACAAGGTCATGCGGCCAGCGTGACTTCATGAAGCGCTGTTACCTTCCCACTGTAGCGGTTCCTATTGATCTACTCGCATTTGCATGTTTTCAAACTGCTAGGTTGGCAGAAACTGGGTTAACAGTGGGAGCTCATGCACTGCCTGGATTCAAACCTGCGACCTTTCTATTATTATTATTATTATTATTATTATTATTATTACATTTATTGTTTTACTCTTATTACATTTACTATTGTGCTCCATTGTTATTATATTTACATTACTTTATTATTACGTCTATTTTACTCTATTTCTTCTTCTTATTATTACTATTACGTGTATTTTATTTTTCTCCTTTCTTCCTTTCTTTCATTCTTCCCTTGATTTCCCTAATCTTTCCTCTCTTCTTTCTTTCTTTTCTATTCCTTCCTTCATCCCCTTTCCCCCTGATAATAACTCTTTCAGAAGTGAATTTCCTTTCCTATGGGAAGATTTTTCACACTTCCTATTGTCTCACCCCTGTTCTTAACTAGGAGACGTTTGGGGTATTACTTGAAACCATGCAAATGTATCTTGTACAATGGACTTCTCCTGAGATGGGAGAATTTATAATGACTGTTGGTCTTACTGATAGATTTATAGACTGTAATAAATCATAATATATAAATATAACATTGGTATTATTACACTTATTATTTTACTCTATTACTATTATAACATTTATTATTTTGCTTTATTATTATTATTGTTTCCAGTGATGCAGCGGGTTAAATAGTTGAATTGCTGAACTTGCTAATCGAAAGGTCGCAGGTTCGAATCTGGGGAGTGGCATGAGCTCCTGCTGTTAGCCCCAGCTTCTGCCAACCTAGCAGTTCGAAAACATGCAAATGTGAGTAGATCAATAGGTACCACTCCGGCAGGAAGGTAACAGCGCTCCATGCAGTCATGCTGGCCACATGGCCTTGGAGGTGTCTATGGACAATGCTGGCTCTTTGGCTTAGAAATGGAGATGAGCACCAACCCCCAGAGTCAGACATGACTGGACTTAATGTCAGGGGAAAACCTTTACCTTTACTATTACATGTATTATTTTACACAATTATTGTTATTACATTTATTATTTTACTTTATTACTATTTTTATTATTACATTTATTATTTCACTCTATTATTACTGCTATTATTACATTTCCATTATTTTACTGTATTAATATTTTTATTATTTTACTCTATTATTATTACATTTATTATTTTACTCTTTATTATTATTGGAAGGATACATAAACACATTTTCATTGGGAAGAATAATGGTTTAATCAGATCTGGACAGTCTTATCTTAAATTACAGTTTTCTGTAAACATTCCAAAACACTTAACCTCCTGATGCCTCAATTAATGTAACTTTATTGGTATCTATTTTTATTTTGAAATTTATCAGTCAGTAGATTCTGCATTTCCTACCCTTGGCTTATACTCAAGTCAATACGTTTTCCCATTTTTATGTGGTAATATTAGGTGCCTCGGCTTATATATGGGTCAGCTTACACACAAGTATATACAGGTATGGATATATGTTGTGCTGGAGCTACATGTCAAAAATGTACACATTCCTACTTACATACAAATTCAACTTAAGAACAAACCTCATAACTGGGGGAGTGCCCGAAGAGAGCATTGATGTGCATTAAGGGCTTGCCTTGGTGGGCATTTGTTGTCTGGCTGCCCCAGTTTGACGCCAGCTTCGAACTGCATTAAATGGTCAGTGTAGATTGGACCCATGTCAAGGAAACCTCTCCAGGAAGAGACTGGTGCAGAAAGGAATTCCTTGGTTTGCCTTAAATATGGTCAGTAGTAAGGGACCCAACTGGGTGCTTTTGCGGAGTTCATATGAGGAAAGCTCTGCATGGAAAACACTTCCCTTTCCTAAAAATCTGAAAATAACTAATGCACACACACACTCTCTCTCCATCCTGGGCCCCGAGCAAAGTCTGCTGCTATTTTCAGTTGTCACTGGCTGCCTAAGCAGAAGACAAGCAGCCTTTATTTAGCTCCTGCCTCAACGTCACTAGTAAATATATTCAACTATTTTTTTTTAAACTACGAGGAAGCAAATGGGACGGTTTTGTGACAATTAAGCATCGATATTTCCTGCTTAGGGGGACAATACATTTAAACCTGAAATATCTGGGACTTCTCCACAATTCCTTCCCATAACAAGCATCTCTTGATTCACTTTTTACCTCTGGGAAAGAAGCTTCTCTTTACATCGAAACCAGGATTGGGCCAACTTTGGCCCTCCAGGTGTTTTGGACTTCAACTCCCACAATTCCTAACAGCCTACTGGCTGTTATATTATGCTGATGACAACGTCGTCTGTGTGCATTCAGAAAAAGACCTACAAGCCACTCTAAACACCTTCTCAGAAGCATACGAGAAGCTCGGCCTGTCACTGAACATCGAGAAAACCAAAGTGCTCTTCCAGCAGTCACCAACCAACCCATCTGCAATGCCAGAAATGCAGCTTAATTGTGTAACATTAGAAAATGTTGACCATTTCTGCCACCTTGGCAGCCACCTCTCCACAGAAGTCACCACTGACACTGAAATTCAACACTGCCTGAGCTTTGCAAGTGCAGCATTTTTCCGAATGAAGCAGAGTGTTTGAGGACCAGGACATCCATAGGGATACTAAGGTGCTTGTTTATAAAGCTATTATCTTCCCAACCCTGCTATACGCCTGCGAGACATGGACTGTCTACAGACGTCACATGCAACTCCTGGAATGATTCCATCAGCGCTGCCTCCAGAAAATCCTGCAAATCTCTTGGGAAGACAAGTGGACAAATGTCAGCGTGCTGGAAGAAGCACAGACCCCCAGCATTGAAGCGATGGTCCTCCGCCATCTACTCTACTGGGCCAGCCATGTTGTCCAAATGCCTGATCTTCATCTCCCAATGCTCTACTCTGAACTCAAGAAAGGAAAATGGAGTGTTGGAGGACAGGAAAAGAGATTTAAAGATGGGCTCAAAGACAACCGTGGCATAGACACTGAGAACTGGCCCTTGAGCGCTCTAGGTGGAGGTCAGCTGTGACCAGCAGTGCTGTAGAATTTGAAGAGGCACAAATGGAGAGCGAAAGGGAGAAACGTGCCAAGAGGAAGGCGCGTCAAGCCAACCTTGGCCGGGTCTGCCTTCCACTTGGAAACTGATGCCCTCACTGTGGGAGAACATGCGAGTCAAGAATAGGATTCCACAGTCACCTATGTACCCACTGCCAGGACACCAAATTTGGAGGACAGTCTTACTCGGACAACAATCGCCTAAGTAAGTAAGAAAATCCCAGCAGTTAGGAATTGTGGGAGTTGAGGTCCAAAACACCCGGCGGTCTGAAGTTGGCCCATGCCTGATCTAAACTGTCAAATGAATGCGGTTTGACACCACTTAATGTCCATGGATTATTCTTATTAAATATTGGGAATTATAGTTTTACAAGGCCTTTCGCCTTCTTTGCCCAAGAGCATTGGGGCCTCACCAAACATCAGCTCAATTGATTCTATAAGCACCTTTTTAATAGCCGTACCACGTTCCCCTAGACAAGTTTTTATAAAAAGTTGCATTTTCATTCAAAGTTCTTCATCTGCTTTAAAAAACCATTAATCTATATACTTTCCCCTCCAAGTTGGTTAGAAAGTGGGTATCTTATATACTTTTACTCCAGATCTGACGTCTGATGTATCGCCAAGACTTACTGTATTCACTCAAGTATAAGCCTAGTTTTATACTTGAGTATAAAAAAAGTTCCCGTCAGCTTATACTCAAGTCAAGGTTATTTATTATATTACTCTGTTATTAGTATTATTTTATTACATTTATTATTTTACTCTATTTATTATTATTACATTTACATTATTTTACTGTACTATTATTTGCATTACATTTATCATTTTACTCTATTTATTATTATTATAATATTTTAATCTATTTATTATTGGTTTTATTATA